TTCTGACTTAATTGAGCAGAATACTGGTTACCTCAGTATTAAACAAACAAACTTAAAATGACTGCATCATCACAGGAACAAATTCTCAAATTAGATCATTGGTAATATTTGTTTTGCCCTTATAAGACAGAATTCCCATATTCTCCAATGAAACTTTTTTTCCCCAGTCAACTGAAATGTGAATTTTTGCTCTGATAAAAATATGGCAACTCTTAATTTCCTGAAGCAAAATAAATGTTCCACTCGTGTGCATTTCTCTGTCAGATCCTAAACACTTCCCACCACCACTACCAAATTCCTCCTGGGGTGAGGCCCTCTGTTCTAAGGTCTTGCCCTTAATACATTTTATGAGCAAATTATTAACAGCAAAGCATGAGGTCCCTGAAAGAGACCCTTAAATATAGTGATGAAATCAGTGATACTGTAACAGGAGCTACAATTTGTCTAAGCGTAGACTTCCCCACAATCCCCCACCAATGACCTCCACTCTGACCTGCAGAGACCACTGTCTCTAGGGGTGAAAGACAATTTATTCTTTCATCCTTTTGTAGCTGAAAATGACTCTGCTGCAATAAATTCTAATCAAGCCAAACTGGATGATAATTTTCAAAAAATTCTTACAGTAGATATTTTCTGTAGAAGAGATACTGGAAAATATAAGGTAGAACTGCACCCTCCACTCCACCCCAACCCCAGCCCCTTAGATAGATGATTTTGTAGCAAAGAGTCCCCACCCTAACTTGTAACCCTTTTCAGAGAGTTCACAGATAAATGACATTGGATACCCACTCTTTCGAGCCTAGTTACACGCATGCAATTTCTTTTACTCTGGAAAAATACAGTATCATTAAAGGCACGGGCAACAATTTTGCTTTCAGGTGCTCTGTTTCTCTGTTCTGTTTGGTGAAGCCTCGGTCCAGGGCACTGCCCATTTCAAGTACAGTCCAGTGCTACCGAAAAGCAAAACCCAAGCTGAGAGAGACACGTCATCACTGGATGAAAAGCAATCATGAGACTGAACTTGAAACAAGTAAAATTTCCCCAGGAGCAGACATGCTAACAATTTACCCTTCCATGCTCAAATAGAAGAGAGGAAATATTTAAGACATGTTTCCATAAGGCCTAACTTTTCAGCCTGAATAAAGCAAACCGGATTGGAAAAAACCTGACTATGTATATTACTTTATCCAATCTATATCTTCCATCCTTTTAAGGGCCATTCCTCTTATCAAATTATTTTAAATTCCAATTACCCCCTTTCAGTGAATGTGAAGAAAGAAATATTGAATGGGCCCCAAAACTGCAGAGGAAAGCGTCACGATTAATGCATGTAGTAGAAATGTCACTATAGAAACACGTTCAGCCTCTTCAGCCTAAAGGCCACTTGTGATCATGGTTCAGAGTGTGGACCTTGTTAAGGCAATAGTAAGTAGCTGCCCTATAGGAAATCCCTCATTTACTCCTCCAGCTGAAGCACCAGGAACCAGGATGACCCTGGGACAACCCTCCTCTGACATAGGAGCTAGGTTTCCATATCCAGGTTGGGGATTCCTGTTATGCCATCAAGTCGACCCAAGAATCAAGCTTTTTCTCAGGATTTACACGAATAAATCACACCCCACTTAATGATTTCTAGGCCCCGGCTCTTCCACATGAGGCAGATTTATCTCTCATAAGTGTGCTATCATGCTGACGGGTGTGCAAGTTAAGCAAAGCATTACCCCTGATATAATTACTTCAGAGAACACAGGGGCCCTCTTTGGAACTTCCTGCTCACTCTGGCATCTGGCTGCTCACTTCTCCTTCCACCCTTCTGAACTCGTCAAAGCATTGGCGATTGCTGCTCACTATGTTTCCCCCTAGATGCTCTGAGTGTCAGGGTATAATTTAGAGAAAACCATAAAGGGCCTGATCATTCCTGGGATTTCCTTTGTTCATCCACAGAGGGCATTCGGAGGAGGATGGACCTGCACAGAGGGTGGCAGAGGGCTAGGGCACAGGCACCAGCTCTGGACCTCCTGGGCTGAGCCACCCAATAAAGCCTGGATGGGAAACCCTCCCCTGGAGCCCACTGATCAACACACGACAATGGCAAAGGCATGAAAAATGAGGCTCTTTGTTTGCCTTACTCTCGGTTCCTAGTCTTACTCTTGGGCTCTTGGTGAATCTTGGCCAAAAAGAAGCTCCCTTTTCACCTGCTTTGGTTTGGTGTGAGTGGCTCTCCTTTCTGGGCCATGGTATGCCTTTCTGGCCACTCCTCCCATTTCCGTTTCCTAGAAAAACAGTTTTGAGGAGAATGTTGCAAGCTCTCAAGCATTCCCCCAATGTAAGACTCCCTGGGGAAAGGCACAATAAAAGAATGGGCCCTAATGAAGAATGTTGAGAAAAAGAATCTTTGTTTCAGTTTAGGGAACCTGTTTTGTAGGTGTTGTCTGCTCCCATTGGAATAGGATCCATGAAATGCTCATCTGGGCAGGTCAAGTCAAAAGAGACAGACTTGGCCTGGTGGAGTCCATTCTTCAAGTCAAGGCTAAGTTCTTAGCCCAGGCAACACCCAAGCTTATATTAAGTCAGCCGCTGGATGAGTGGGATCCTCTCAATATTTTTCAACAATGTCTACAGGAAATTGAAGGACAAAGGTCTAGCTTGCATTTGGAAATCTATAACTCCCTTCTCCCAGTCTCCTTTTGCTCATGTTTCCAGAAATGGTCCTTATTTTCTTATTCTGTATCCCATATTACTAAAAGCTGGGACCCATTGACAATAAGTCTGAAATGCCACATAGACACTGAGAAAGATAAAAGCTCTTTCCTAGGCTTAGAGAACATAATTTAGAGGCTCCCCGGTCTAACCTCACAGGATGTAAAATGAAGGAAATCATAAAATAAGGGCCCAAAGGACGCATCATATAAGTAAGTCAGGGAATTCCAGAAAAAAAATGGTCCAACAGCCAGTATGGCATTCCCAAATCACAAGCTTCCTAAACTTTTTTTTTGTAGTCTAGCAAAAGAATATGCCTTATCATTACCATCATTATTATTATTATTGATAATTTGATTCATTTTTCCTCTTGGCTTGTCCCCCAGGAAAAAAAAAAGTTGGCAACAATTATCCGTGTTTGAGAACTTAGAGAAATATAGAGGAACTCTGAGCTCCTCGTTCATTTGTGGGTTTACTTGAGAGAAAACTCGTCAGTCAGAAGCACAGGAGTAACTGTGTCAAAGGCAGCTACTGACAAGGATTCATGCCCACTTTCGGCACTGACTGTTTTCAGCTCAGTAATACATCATCTATAGTTAATGTGGAATTCACTGCATGAGGGTCAAAAAACTATTCAATATTGATCTTTTCAGGCAGATTAAAACTACATAAGCTTTTAAAATATATTTTATAAGCACATTGCTTGACCCATCTCTCCCTAACCTCCTCCTCTTCCCCAGCAAAACAAGGCAACGGTAAATTCAGGAAATTCATGTGCTTATTACTAATAATTCTTTCCACGAATTTTAGAATTCAATCCACATCACAGTATCATGTTGGAACAAAATTGACTCAAATGAGAATGTTGGGCTTGGTCTACGTATATTGAAGCTAGAATGACTGATTTCCACACAAGAAAGGTGACCACCAATATCCTAAAACTGGATTCTAGCCTATTGTCAAGTAAGTGCAGTATCTGGATTTGTGTTGTGTTGTAAAATCCTATTCTATCTTTCAAATAAAGTTTCTCCATAGAATACTCAGCATGACACCCTAGGTGCCCCAAATGATGAAAAATCATCCATTTTAAAAACACCCTAGAAATACTAAGGACTGACCAGTCTATTGTGGTATGTTCTGCCCCGGGGGTGAAATCATCAACTTAGATATTAACCACAGTGTTAAGACTTTTTAAAGGCTGTACTCCAGGCAACGGGAAGGCTTTCTGAAATCCCAGCCAAGAGACTCTGCTTACATGAAGGCAAGCTGACTTTGCCGGGGAATTGTCTATTTCTTTTTTTCAGAAACTCATGTCTGAAAATAATTAAAAGGAAGTCTTTGAGGAGTAATCGTTCTGAAAACAAAATGCCACGTCTATGCCATGAAATGCTGCTCAGGCAGAGACGTCCATCAATATCCATCAGTCCTGGCCGTCTGCTTCCACAACTCTGCTCCCCTTTCTGATTAGAGATCACTGTTGCCTGGGCTGCCTTACAGGGTGTCATCTGTTTGAATGACAGATGTCTAGGCCTGCCAGACCAGCCACACTCTTCTCCTTGCTCTGTTTTGGTTCCTGAGATAGGGAAGTCTATGGCTTCCTCAGGCTAGTCAGATCAAAACTGTGGCTACCACGGACACTGTCTCAGATGGAAACTATGTATCAGATTGAAACCATGTATCAATATGTAACAAGGGAAAGGGGCCACGGGGGACGCTGAAATCGACAGCATTCTAACCCCTCAGACAAAACAAAATCCTTCCGGTTGAAATTGACAAAACAATCTGCCTTTTCCCGGACCCCCTGGAGTATGGCCTTTGTCGATCTGGGCAGAATGGTCTCTATGGGTATTTTTCTCCTCTTCTTTCCTCTTTAGACTACACAGGAGAACCACTTCCCCCTCCTCAAAGCTGCCACACAGCCCACCAGGGAGTGGATATATTTATTCAATCAATGCCAGATGCTTTTCGCCCTGAGTACTGAGGAGACCCGGATCCTAAGCATTGTCACCTTCCCTTTTCATCATCCAGACCCTACTCAGGAACCCCGGGACAGACAGGTGGCGGGCAGCTTCGACACCGGCATGCTTTAACTTGCTGGTGGGCTCAAAGTTTGGAGGGCAGTCCAGAAGGCATCCGGGAGCCGCCTCAGGGCTGAGCCCCTGCCGCCCCAAACTCCTCTTTTTGCACTTGGGGGAAAAGGGGACAAACACCTCGACTGGGGGGAGGGGAGAGATAGGGGAACGCAACTGCTCTTCCGGACAACACGGTCGGGCTGAAATGAAATACGTCGCCACACTTACCGAAGAGCTTGCTGGGAGCGTCCTGGCTGTCATTGGATTCCCCGGGCGCAAGCAGGGGCTCATTGAGCTCGCTGTCTGGAGTCGCTGCCTGGTCCTCACCTCTCAACTCTGCATTCATTTCACTCCGCACTGACAGCAGCAGCGAGGGCTTACTGACTTGTCCAGCTATCATTGGATCCTAGGACAGGGAACAGGAGTGAGGGGGGAAGAAAGTGGCAGCTTTAGCTGGCTGGCTGGCGTGCTCTCTCTCTCTCTCTCTCTCTCTCTCTCTCTCTCTCTCTCTCTCT